CACCTCACACCTGTCAAAATGGCTATCATCAACAAATCAACAAATGACAAGTGCTGGCGGGGATGTGGAGAAAAAGGAACCTTTGTGCACTGCTGGTGGGAATGCAGACTGGTGCAGCCACTGTGGAAAACAGTATGGAGTTTCCTCAAAAAATTAAAAATGGAACTCCCTTTTGACCCAGTGATCCTACTTCTAGGAATATATCTCAAGAGACTAGAAACACCAATCAGAAGGGATATATACACCCCTATGTTCATAGCAGCACAATTTACCATAGCTAAGATTTGGAAACAGCCTAAGTGCCCATCAGCAGATGAATGGATTAAAAAACGGTGGTACATCTACACAATGGAATACTATGCTGCCATAAAAAAGAAGGAATTCTTACCATTTGCAACAGTATGGATGGAACTGGAGAGCATTATGGTAAGCGAAATAAGCCAGTCAGAGAAAGATAAATATCACATGATCTCACTCATTTGTGGAATATAATGAACAACATAAACTGATGAACAAAAACAGATCCAGAGACAGAAGCATCGATCAGACTGTCAAACCTCAGAGGGAAGGTAGGGGAGTGTGAGGGTAAGGGGAAGAGATCAACCAAAGGACTTGTATGCATGCATATAAGCCTAACCAATGGACACAGACAACAGGGGGGTGAGGGCATGAGTGGGGAGTGGGGGGCAATGGGGAGGTAAGGACACATATGTAATACCTTAATCAATAAAGATAAAGAAAAAAAAAAGAATTTTGGCTTCCGAACATAGCTAGGAATAATGTGAGGTGAGGTTAAAGTGGAAGATTCTCTTTTCCTGATTTGACAGATACTGATTTTATTTGCTCTAATCTAAAAATCAAGGACTCTTGTACTTTCTGTTATGCATTTCCCAAGCCAATCTTAATTCCTCTTAAGGTTCCTGGCTCAGCTGTGTCCCATATCTCTTAGCTGGGCATAATCCCTTAATTCATTTCAACCTTCCTTTTGCTTTCATTTAACTAAGTGACTTGTTTACTTGTTTTATTTAAAATAAGTTTTAACTGAAGAATTTGAGAGGAAGAAAAAATACCTTTCTGAATTCCTCCCCCAGGAGCTCTTTAGGTTGTTATCACCTCTAATTACATAACTTTTATAATATATACTAGTAAGGAACATTGGTTTTCTATTTTGCAAACTGTTCTCTGATTGCAACTGGAGGAAACTGATTTTTATTAGTAATAATACTATTGGTAGAAGTTAAATAATATCTGTCTATAGTACTACCTCTGTTATGATACTTTTTTTATGATTCCAGCATATTTGATTTATCTTATTTCATGTTGTTTTTAGTTTGTTAACCACTTTCTTTGATTTACAAAGTGGGATATTTAAAAGAAGCAGACTTTCTGTGGGGTTCATTTCAAAACTTGGAAAGGGCTGAGAATACGAGTTTAAAGAGGTAAATTGAGTATAAAAAGAAGAATGATTAACTGTGTACTCTTTCATTTTTCTATTTTTTGTATCAAGATTTCAGAGTATGGTAATTCTCTGAAGTCATCTCTAATAAGTTAGATTAAGTGTAGCTCTTGATTGAGCCTCATGTAAATTTCTCTTAAAAAAAAAAGGTTCTCTAAAGCTTATACCCTTTTTTGGTAATTATTTCTATTTTTTATTATAAGGATCTCAAACATATTTTAGTGGTAGAGAGAACTCATATTATGAACTTCCAAGTGAGCATCACTCATTTATTCCATTGCTTAGTCCCTGCCCCCTATCTTAATATAATTACATCAAATAGCATATAATTCTTCTGAAAATGTTTCAGTAAGACTCTCTAAATTATAAAAGATTTTGTTGTTATTGTTGTTAAGCACAACTGTAGTACCATTACATTTTAGTAAAAAATTAAGGAAACCTGTTTAGGACTAACCTTTCACTCTGTCTTGGAGACTCACCAGATAAATAAATTAAAGATTCATCATACTATTTTTGTTTTATTTTAGAAGTAGATTATTCTATTAAAATAGTATATTGATAACCCATCTGAATAACCAAGACTCATTTATCCCTCAAATTGGGATACTTTGAGAGTAAAAGGGGTCACTATTAACAATTATGCTAGGAGAACAGTTGAAATCTAGGATGGTCCTGGGTGAACTGGGCTATATATGGTCCTCTATCTCAAGGTAATATTTACTGGTTGAATAGCTACTATCATTTTTTAAAATATATTTTATTGATTTTTTACAGAGAGGAAGGGAGAGGGATATAGAGTTAGAAACATCCATGAGAGAGAAACATCCATCAGCTGCCTCCTGCACACCCCCTACTGGGAATGTGCCCTCAACCAAGGTACATGCCCTTGACCGGAATCGAACCTGGGACTCTTCAGTCCACAGGCCGACGCTCTAGCCACTGAGCCAAACTGGTCAGGGCAGCTACTATCATTTTTTTATTGAGCTTTGAATACTCAAAATGAGTCAAGTGGTAGCGAAGAGCATGATTAAGCTTACTGTAGGACTTTTTTTTTTTTAAATGTTTTATTGATTTTCTACAGAGAGGAAGGGAGAGGGATAGAGAGTTAGAAACATCGATGAGAGAGAAACATCGATCAGCTGCCTTCTGCACGCCCCCCCACTGGGGATGTGCCCACAACCAAGGTACATGCCCTTGACCAGAATCGAACCTGGGACCTTTGAGTCCACAGGCCGACGCTCTATCCACTGAGCCAAACCGGTTCTGGCTGTAGGACTTTTTTTACTTGGTAAATAATACAAATTGGTATAGCTAGATCAAGTCTAAAATTTTTTAAGTGCCTGTAGATTTCAACTTTGTTCTTCTTTAAAAATTTTAAATTATTTTATTTTGCAATTACATTTGACATTCAATATTATTTTATGTTAGTTTTAGGTGTATAGCATAGTAGTCAGTGACTCCCCTGATAATTCTACTACCCACCTGACACCATGCATAGTTAGTACAATATTATTGACTATATTCCCTATACCAGGGGTGGGCAAACTTTTTGACTCGAGGGCCACAATGGGTTCTTAAACTGGACCAGAGGCTGGAACAAAAGCATGGATGGAGTGTTTGTGTGAACTAATATAAATTCAAAGTAAACATCATTACATAAAAGGGTACGGTCTTTTTTTTTTTTAGTTTTATTCATTTCAAACAGGCCGGATCCGGCCCGCAGGCCTGTAGTTTGCCCACGGCTTGAATCTAGTCCCTTGTCTCACTTTTAGCTTACTGAATCAGATTCAAAGTCTTGAATGTTTATATGAAAAAAATTATACTTTATATACACATATATCTTAAAATGACTGACTTTAATTTTTATTATTGATTTGAGAGAGAGAGAGAAACATCAGTCTGTTGTTCCACTTATTTGTGCATTCATTGGTTGCTTCTTGTATGTACCCTGGCCAGGGATCGAACCCGTAACCTTAGTGTATCAGGACGATGCTCTATCCAACTGAGCTACCTGGCCAGGGCTCCTTAAATGACTGACTTTAACTGTGGCCTTTTAAAAAAATTATATCCAATCATTTATAATATATGGTATTTTGGAATTTTTTTCCTACATAGTTCCGGCTGGTATTGATGTGATATCATCTCTCTATATAAAAGCCTAAGTGACTGGCCAACTGGCCGGTACCTGTGACGTGCAATGACCACTGGGGGGCAGATGCTCAATGCAGGAGCTGTTGAGCTGTGGTGACTTGGCAGCTGTGGTTCTTGGGTAACGCACCGGGAACCAGAGAGGAGGGAGCATGATTCTGGGGTGTATCACCCAAGGACCACCCTCTCGCAATTCGGGACCCCTCGGGTTGTCAGAGAGCCGGTTTGGGCCCGATCCCCACAGGCCAGGCCGAGGGACCCCACCGGTGCATGCCTGTAGTGATGATATATTATGCTTAATTTGTTACGTTAAAGAAATGTATTCATGGTTTTGCTCTAGACATTTAAGTATTTTAAATGATTTTTTCTCTTTCTCTAGCTGTCCCTTTCCCTCCAACCCAAAGGCTTACTTTGAAGGAAGTCTTTGTAAATGGGAAACCTAATATTGATGTCTTGAAGAACCATTTGGTGAAGGAAGGGCGAGTAGAAGAGGAAGTAGCCTTAAAGATAATCAATGATGGGACTGCTATCCTGAGACAAGAGAAGACTATGATAGAAGTAGAAGCTCCAATCACGGGTATGAGAAGATTTTGCATGGTTGCACTTAGGTTTGAGCTAATTTAAGAAATGATCACCAATAACCAACTAAAATGTGTTGTAATTTTTCTAGGAATTATGAGACTGTTTTAGGATTGTTTAGTATGTTTTCTGTTCACTGAAGAAATACAATTTAAAATGTTTGTTATTTCCAGTAGAACTATTCAGTGTTGATAGATTGACTATAGTAATAGAGCAGTCCAGTCCAAAGCAAAAGTGATTTGAAAGTTAAACTGTGATCCCTATTGGTGTAATGCCCTTTCTTTTCTTTTTTAAATATGTTTTTATTGATTTCAGAGAGGAAGGGAGAGGGAGTGAGAGATAGAAATATCAGTGATGAGAGAATCATCAGTTGGCTGCCTCCTGCATGGCCCCACTGAGGAACGAGCCTGAAACCCAGGCATGTGCCCTGACCAGGAATCAAACCATGACCTCCTGGTTCATAGGTCTACACTCAACCACTGAGCCATGCCAGCTGTCTCTTTTCTAAGACATAATTTTTTACCTCACCCAATGTTTTTTTTCTAGTGTGTGGTGACATTCATGGACAATTCTTTGACCTGATGAAGTTGTTTGAAGTTGGAGGATCACCTAATAACACACGCTACCTCTTTCTGGGTGACTATGTGGACAGAGGCTATTTCAGTATAGAGGTAAAAATTAAACTGGATGTGTTGGAGCTATCATATTGTGTTTTTAAAAAAATTTTGCTTTCCATTCTTTAGTAAAAAAAAAATTCAAGTGAGAACATTGGCAGAATTTATAAATTTTGTTACTTTCAGTCATTAAAGTGAGAGAGAAATATTTTGATATAAAAGTTTTTTTTCTTTTTTTAGCTAGTAGAAAGTCTAACAAATAGAAGGCTATATTAACCCAGCTTTGCAAATAAATTAAATGATTACTAACCTTTCCTCTTTGAAGATAGTACATGGGCTGTATATAAGTGACATAAATTGCTATTCACCTTAAATGGGGCTTGAATTAGCTGACCTTAATTACAAGGATCATAAGCTGCTGGGCTACAGTTAATCTTAGATTAACTGCCAATGGTAAATAAGGCAGGTGCTTAGCTTATTAAAGGGAATAATTTCTGATGC